CCTGTGCGGATGTCTACGGGAGTCCCAACCTTAAGACCTGATAGTGCACAGCATTGACTAAATCTGGCACTTCCTGCAAAGATCTCAAGAACGTGGATCTTTCCCTTACGTACACAATTCCAATGCGCTTGTTCAGGAATGGATGTGAGGTCCTCGACGAACATGTTCTCTGCTGGATGAGGTACTACAGGTTTTGGAGTTGTTTTTCCCGCGATACGTAATGGCACTGAGGATCTTGGCTTAAGAGCTGGTGCGGATGATTCCTTTTTCTTGGTATCTGCAGAGGAGCCTGGTTGCTCCTTCTGCAAGGATTCTCGCTCTTCTGGTAACAGAAGATCAATTCCGGGTTTCCCGAGGGATGGTCTCATCCTTCCTTCGTCATGTTAACCTTGATGAGTCGAGTCCCAAGATCAAGTCCTACCATCGCTCCTTCAATGGAAATGACCTTTCCTTTTAGCCATATTCCTCCCTTGCTTCCATCGGAACGAATCTTGGATTTGTCTTCCTGCCAGTAGAATACCTTGTCCTTCACCTGAAGAGGCTTTGAACTCATTTGGAGATTTTGAGCAAGGTCTCGTCGGATGTCTTCGGATTGACGTGCTTCTTGCAAAGCTTGCTTTGACAGCTGCTTGATCTGGATGGCTGTCAGCTCTTCTTCATTCCTGTCAATCGTCAACTGAGCTGGTGTTGCGACATCGAGTTTGGATGAGATATGCTGGTCGTCTTCCGAATGCGAGCTCCAATGGTGTTACACCCCCGTAGGTGACGGTCTGATTCCTGACAGTTGCAGCGGCCTTCACTAGCTGCCTGTGTGTCACTTCTTCAGTGTTGCAGGCGCTGTACCTGCTTTGATGGAACTTAGCATGATCTTGAGTTGCGCCTTCAGGAGTCGAACTGCTGCTTCAGCTCGATTTGGCCATGGTGTATTCGGTCGCAAACATATCGGTGTGATGTCAAGGGACTGATAGAAATGTTCCCATGTGTCTGTCATGAAGGCTTGATCTGCGACAACTGATTTAAGCGGCAAGTGGTCAAAATAGTTCCTGAGGACAGTGATGTTCTCGGCTTCTTGCGTAGTTGTCACTGCCTCTGCAGTGAGCAATGTTGTTGCTCGATCCAGGATGACAAAAACAATGATGTGTTCTCCTGTTCCAAGAGGAACAAGACAGTGATCAAAGAATGTCATGTCACCAAAGGTGTCCGCTCGAAGTCCACTTGTTTTGCTTCGTGATGGTGCATGTTTTGCCGCTTGGCAAACTTCACACTCACTTCGGATCTTGTCAAATAGATCGAATGTTGATTTCGGCAAATGAAGTGCTCGGGTTCTAAATCGAAATTGATCTGTTGTCATGTGATGATGCTGCAGGTGGAGTTTCTTCAACTCTTCAGGATTTGACAATCGCTTGTGTATTCTGCCTAGGGCAAGCGGAAGCGATGTTGGTTCTTCTGAGGATGGTGCGAAAGGATCTGGCTCAATAGTCGACCGGCCCCTCTTGTCGATGATCTTCTCTGCTGCCGATCCTGAACCTGCTTCTTCGTCCTAGCGAATTGTCCGCGAAGGTGAAAATGGTCTTACCTGTCCACAGGTTAATCATCGGTTTATTTGCCTGGGATGTAAGTCTCCAATTGTCTTCTAAAATGTCTGGATCTCCACCTCCAAATGCATCAATGATTTCCGTAGTACGTTCTCGGCTAATGTGATCAGGATTGATTGGACATTCCTTGGCTCCATTTGGTGTGAACAGCGCCTTTCGGGGCGTGATGCGCACACGGATGAGCTGCTTGTTCTTCTTGTCAAGGATCCAATGGTCCTGCTTTTGAGACCCAATGATCTTAGGAGTTGCTAGGTCCTCCTTTGTCTCGGATGATTTTGCTGCACAAACAGTTTCGCTCTTGGTGAGATCCCCGGAGGGAAACTTGATGCTGTTATCATCGTCATAGACATAGTTGATGAGGCCCTTGTGAGCAATTTCTCCATGCGCCTTCACTCTTGCAACTCCAGCGAGATCGACGAGTGCATGTCCTGTACCGGATACTGGAACTGCTTGACGGTTCATGCCAAAGGCCTTGCATGTGATCTTGTCACATTGAGGTGTGTGCTCGATGGTCATGTAGAGGTTCCGCATCTGGCTGATGCTGAGAAGGATCGGTACAGTTCCTTGTTCAAGGACGTCGATGTTGGTACTGCGTGGAGGAGTTGTGTGATATCGAAGATGCAGGGTCCAATTTACCCTGGCGGTCTCTCCGTTTGCAAAAGTGAACTTGGTCTCGGCCGGGATGTACTCATAGGAGATGATGTCCTTCATTGGTTCGATGGCCTGAGTAAAACGCTGGATTGCATGCCAGCTGCCCATATATCTGGTACATCCATTGTCCAGAATCGCATAGGTCGGGTTGTGCTGAGGGTTGATGACAGGCGCCATCAGCTTTGTTGCCAGAAGGCTGTGATTTGTTGCGAGTTCTGAAACTGTATCTGACTGGATCAGCTTCTCGTGGGTGGCCTTTTTCCCAGGATGCTCATATGCATCATGGAATGCCATTAACGCTTGTCCTGTGCTGGATGTCTCATGGGATGAGTACCAGCCATGTTCGTTCCATGTCCATGATTGATCCCAGCCTTGGCCTCCAACCGGCATAGGTAGGCTCTATGGATGGTGCAGTCTGCTGGATGGCGGGCTGCTCCTCCGTCTTCTCTGCGGTGGCTGCGAACGTCTTGGATTTTCCTTTCTCCTGTCCGCTCTTTCCTTTGCCACTCTCATAGGATGGATAACCTTTGTTTCCATCATAGGGATATTGGAATTTTGATTTTCCTTTCTTTCCCTTCTTTCCTTTGCCTTTTCCCCAATATGCCTGGTCGTAGGGATCATAGTTTTCGTTGGCCATATTGGCCTTTCCGCCAGAACCGCTTTTTCTGAAGGGTTTAAGCCACCTCGTTGGTGACTGCCCTTTTTGTTTCCTGATTTTCCTTTTCCTTTTCTCTTCTTGAACTTGAAGTTCCGCCCCGACACTTTTCTTGCTATGAACGCATCGTTCTCCTCGAGGACCCAGAACGTCTCTTCATCGTTGTTTGACATGAATCCTTCAAGTCCTTCTTCATCCTCAACCCAGAAGCCTTCTTCTCCTTCGTGTTCACCTTGTTCGATGATGAAGAATGTGTTGCTTCGGTTGCCTCCTTGAGGTCGGATGGATGGATCTTGGATTGATGTCCTCGTCGTGATGAAGAGTTCATGGTAGTGCGTCTTCAGCATCTCATAGGAGTAGTTTTCTAGTGAGATGTTTCTCAATGACATTGCACTTGTCAGTCTTTCTCGTTGCTGATCTGACAGCTCACTTTGAATAATGAAAAACTGTGCAATGAGATTATCCCCGAAGGGAAATGCGTCCCGCTGTCTGTCCTGCATTCCTTGGATATACTGTCTGAGGACTGTTGGATCGTCCTCATTGAGCAGGGCTGGAGGCGGTGCTCGAACACCGGCTGCTTGCTGATGTCGAGCAATTGTTCTTGCATTTGCGTCCTGTACGGACTGTCGAAATGATGGGGACTGTGCCGTGAAAACGGGCATCAAGTCCATCCATGCTGCCTTCAATCTCATAAGAAGGATTTTGAATTTTGAGGTAAAAATGAGGAACTCTTGGTTCTGCCTTCTATGGTTGAAGAAACTGAGGAGCCTGTACAGATACACGTCGGTCGCACCTTTCAAAAAGTACTTCTTCAGCGTGTTCTTGAAATAGTTGACTCCTTCATCAGGATCTTGCAAAAGGTCGTTTTGGAGGGCCGCCTTGTACATATATGCATCACCGGTTAATCTGCTTTTGAGCAGAGGTCCTCTCTTGGGTGCTTCCACCGTTGTGATGGTCACCCAGTCGTCCACGAGTTCTTCATACCTGAACCAGCTGACTTTTCCGTCGTACGATGGCGGCTGCTTGGCGGTCATCGATAAATTTAGGTGTTTCCTCCGTATAGCCTGGATTTTTGGCCATACTTGAATAGGCTTCCATGAAGCCTTCTCCATCGGATGACATCTTCCCTTGGATCTCTGCGGAAAACCCGCTCCGCTACCACAAACTGAGGCCCACTGCCCCAGGTGCCTATCCCCGAAGGAACTGGTACCCTGTGGTAGTAGAGGTCGTTGTGTTGGTCCCTGGATCTATTCCGGAGAGAATCCAATATGCCACTGTGGATGATTGGAGGATGGATTGTCCCTGGTGGATTGTCTTGTGGATAATCCTGTAAGCGGCCTGCTAAGGTTCTTTTGCTTCACGCGATCATGAATGATGCAATGATATACAAAAGGGGCCTTGAGCCAAATGTTGCGGGAGATCAATTGGTCTGAGAACCAAACACGGGGGGGGGGGGGCAAGTACTGGGCGGCACTGGGCGTGCGTCCATACGGCTCTATGGAATCAGATGGCATGAGATGGCGTCAGATTCGCTCGGATCGCCTCGTTGGGGAAGAGGTCGGGCTGGGCGCGGACCTGAGTGACAGGCCACGCTTGACATCCCCGAATTCTCCCGAGGCGGCGGCCCACATGGGCGTGGTCTGCGACTGCGGGGCGAAGCCACAGGACCTTCCCACATCTTGGACCTTGGGCCGTTTGGGCCGTTTGGGCTGGGGCCGGGGTCGTTTCGTCTAGGTCTTTGAAACTCTGGCCCAGGCCCAGCCCCACAAGCCAGCCTTCGACATCCTATTTTCTCTCAAAATCCGCTTGATCCTATTGGCACGCGGCCTTCTAATCAAGTTGTTTGATGTTGGCACTGAGAACCTAGGTGCATCTGTCAGGTGTGGTCCTTGCCGCTGATTCTGTCCGACTTGCGTCGCATGAGTCAATTACTTGCGGCATATGAAGCGTAGGCAGCATTATGTAAAGCGTTGATTTGTGGCCCTAAGGCTGTGGCGCTCTATCAAGAGTCTGAGCCAAGCACGGGCACTGACAGTTCAAAAAGGCCAGAAACCCAATGGTAGCCGACATCAAAATTGCCAAAGGCATGATGTTTCTTTCCTTGCACGTCACATCCTGCAGCTAAGACAAACAAAGCTTTACAGACCGATTGGAGGCCCAGACTTTGTGGCCGTAGTGAAACTTGGGGGTTTAGACTGAGAGAGACTAAGAGATCTCTCAGTTCCTCAGTTCCGTCCCTTCCCCCTGCCACTTCCGCTCTTCCAGACTCTGGCACCATCGCCATTTCCACCCCATCCGCCATGTCCACCGCCCCATCCGCCGCCATTGCCGGCCCATCCGCCATTGGCGCCGCCCCACTGGCTGTTGCCACCGCCCCAGTCGGCACCTCTGTATCCCATGGTATTCGCCACTTCTTTTGATACGAAGAACTTGTCGAGCTGGCTGATGCGGTTCCTAACATGACTCATCAAGCACTCAACCATGGAATCCCATGGAGGAGAGCGTCCTGAAGCTCAGGAACTTGGTTTCAAACAGCTTGATGTTTTCATTCACCACATCTTCCTTGTTCAGGATTCCTTCCTCACAAGCGAATCAAAGGCCGAGCGGGCTTCGAAGCGCCCTGTGCAAGTCTAGGAACTCCTCTGCCGAGGTGCTTTCGCGAGCTTACGTGAACACAGGGATAGTTTATGCTACTTGCGCAACTTGCGCAACGCATTCGGCAGTACGCCTTTGCGGATTCAATCGTGCCACGTGGTTTTGAACCTTCCGAGAGTCTGCCACCTGGGCACATTGCTTTTCCTTAGATCGGATGAATCTGTGGTTCTGCACGATGACAAATGCTGGCGGGACTCCATGTACGCCCGAATCGGTGGCCGGCACAATTCAGCATCCAGCTCCTCACTCGCGAGAAAACAAATGATTGGACAGATTTTGTCCAAATAACTGTTCTGACACACATGCATGTAGTAGATATATGTAGATATTATATATTGTTTTATGCACAAAAGGGATCAAAGTTTGCCCACTCTCCGAAACGCCCTCCTCGAAGGCCGCGCAGAAGCTCAGGCCCAGAGCAGTCGGAACCTCGCCGATTGCTTTGCAGTTTCCTTTCCCGAACGCGCATGCGACGCGCACGCGACGCGCACGCGACGCACACGCGCATGCGCCCCGCCAAGGGACCATGTGCCGCGACTGAGGCCTCTCTCCTTGGCCCTTGCCATCTTTGCCTTTCTTTCCCTGGGAACAGGGAACTGAGCGCACTCAGGCACCGGCACAGCCCACTTGGCAGCCCGGCTTTGCCCTTGCCCTTCTTGCCACCCTTGGGGATTCGTTCGCCGCGCTGGCCATCCTCCCCAGGTCCACAAACCATCACGTAGTTCCGGTTGCAAATGTTCTCCTCATCCGTCAAGGCCCATCCATGCCACCCGACGAGAAATTTGCAGCAACCCTCGATGAACACGTTTGTGAAATACGATTGGACTTGAATCCAAGCCACGATATGCTGAGGAATCGAAGCATCTGTGCCGATTCCATGCTTGTCCATGAGCGCCACCAATTCGCTCTCCTTCCTTATGGAATCCAAGGCAAATCCAAGGCAAACTCAAGGGAGACGCAAGGGAGACGCAAGGGAGACGCAAGGGAGACGCAAAGGAAACCAAGGCAAGGCGCAAGTAGTCCGGTGGCTTGGTGAAGTCACTCTCTACCCAAACCTCTTCCACGGAGAGCCGGCTGCCCGGTGCCAAGCGCGGCATGGCCCAGTCGATCTCGTTCAAATTCAAGTCTTTGGTCTTCCACGGCATTGCAAACAGAAAGCCCCTGGCATCGGTTGCAGTCCGGTCGCAGTTCGGTCACAGTTCGGTCAGCTTGCTCAATGCCTTTCACGCATCGAACTGCTTTGGACTTTCAAGGCCTTTCACGCATCTCGTGGAAGGTGTAAGCAAAGTCCTCACCAGCTAAGTTGACGATGAGCGCCTCAGCTTGGCAGTTGCAGTGCATCGCCCCATCCATCGACCATGTTTAGTTGGCTATGTGCAAGCCCGCCTTTTCCTCATACTCCACATCGGACATGAGAGATGCAATGAAATGCCGCGTAATGAAGTCATACAACCTCCATTCAGAGCCTCCGTCCAATCAACTCACGATGTGGAGTCTGTATTTGTACCCGGCCTTTGCTGAACTCATCCCTAGGTGCTGCTTTCATTGGTGTGATCGGAGGGTGATCTCCGACATCCCGGCCAGTCTTTGGATTTCTGATCTGACCTTGCCTGAGGAGATGACTCACCGTCTTCCCCCAGGCCTCATCCAAAGTGCCCAAGTCTCGAGCAAACTGACCCCCCGTCGGACGAGGCAACCCCAGAAGCACAAAAGAATGAGAAGGACAAGCAGAACAGGGAGCAGAACACGGAGCCCAAGAAAGGATTCGGGATGAAATTGGGTCAAGTTCGGATCGAATCAGCTTGACCGCAAATTGCTAGGGCTGCCGACAGGGTGATCCGCTTGCTCCCGGAGCGCCGCGTGCAAATCAAAAGTGTCGGAGTACCTCCCCAAGTCACGCAGCGAATCTCACAGTTATCGAAACACAAAACATAATCCAATGTA